TACGGTACGTAGCAAAGAACGGAGGGATCAGAACAAAACTGGTTTAATTCTTTCTGACGTGACACCACGAACAATGGCTTTCGCTGAGTCCTTGGCTTTACGCACCGTACGTTCGATACTCGTAGTCGTTCTAGCCGTACGTACGCGTACMGTACTCGTACCRTCCTTACGAGGTACGTACGCTACGAGAACCAACGTGACAAGAARAAGTTATAGTACCGATCCTAGYCAAGGATCTACCYGAAAATTATTAAGCCCCTTCAAAAGAAAGAGAACACAGATTATCATKATCAACAAAAGTTCCAGCTTTAGCGTGGACTGATGTTCGACACCGCAGATTTCGTGAACCTAGTACGAAACGTACGGTACGGTGCTTCTCCGAGAGACCGGTGCGATGGAAGACGGAATCCGGACTCACAATACTGTGCTGTTTTGATCGTACGAGTGCGTTACTGTACGGTACTAGCCATAGCTGAAATTCAATTGCTGTACGGTACTACTGTGTTGGGAGGTGTCTKCTGGTTTTGGTTTTCCACTGGCATCAGCAGCAACAGCAGCAACAACAACGCAAGCATGACAACACCGGCGTTCCTGGAGCTCCGGAACGGGTACCTGATTGCCTCCCCGGCGGTCGGTGCCGAGATTCCGAGCTGGTGCGGCCCGGTTCCCTTTCTGGGATCGACGGAAACCCTGCTGGWACGGATGGGCTTCGAGATCMRGGGGGACTACTTTTGCGAGGACGGCCACCACGCCGCYKCCCCTTCGGGAAGGAACCCGCTGGTGGCCTCCCCCGGAAAGCCCAAGCGGTACAATCCCGTGGACGCGCTGACCCGGGCCGCCGAGGACGTCCGCGACATGCGGCACCGAATCGCGGAGGACGGTCCCGGGGGACGGAGAAGGGGGGGGAACTACAAGGTCCGCGTCCTGGAGGAGCAGCGAAAGAAGCTCCAGCAGCAACAAAAAGACGGGAACGGGGCGGGACGGACCCCCCAGAAGCAGGGGAGGGGCAGCGAGACGARCAMGRACAMGGACACGAACACGAACACGAACACGAACCTCGCGGAAGCCCAAAAGGAGGTCCGAGACGCCTGGCTCCGCATCGCCCGGACCTACAACTCGGTACGGCTGGTCCTCTTTTTCCTCTCGGACAGGGAGGGACTGGACATSTTTGGGAGGACGGCCTACGCCAGGGGCGAGTATTCGTCGGCGGYGGGCATCAAGTCCCTCAAGAAGATCACCCAGATGCTCTCGGAGACGATGACGAACCTCATGATCGGCCCGAACGCCAGCGAAAACGACCGACAGCCCAGGGACACGATCCGTTTGTGGACCAGCTACGCCAACACCTGGATCATGCTGAGGGCCCGCRGCTCCTACCGGGATGCGAACCCGAATTCGAATTTCAATTCGAACTCGAATTYGAATTCGAACGGGGACGACTCGTACGCCATCGATCTCTGCGACGACTCGTCGGAAGAGGGCAGAGGCAGCGGCGTTGGCGTTTGCGGCGGTCCTCCGGAGGGCATTCCGTCGGAAGTTTCGAGGTGGTTCCTCCTCTGGAACGACCGCATCGACCGGCTCATGGCAGACCTGGTCTCGGAAACGAAAACGATAACGATAACGAAAACGAGCGGGACTTTTCCGGGAAGGGGACAAAACGAATTCGTCTCTCCGGGGTGGGCCGGCGACAAAGCCGCACGGGCCAGAGCCAGGGACCTCGACGCCCGCTTTTCGCTGCTGGTGGGGGCCTCCAGGGGCAAGGACCAGAAACTAAGGGAGCAGTACCTGCTCTCGATCGACAACCTCCGGGCCAAGCTCCAGGAGCGGATCCGCCAGGGGACGWACGCCAAGAAATAYAGGGACGCCCGCCTCGAGGTCTACGGGAGCTGCCTGAGCGGGCTAAGCCTGGGCAAGAACGCCGACGTCGACCTCAGCCTGACCTTTGACGAAGCCGTCGCCGACAAGARCAAGTTCGAAAAGGGCGTGAGCTCCGCCAAGAGCTACAACCGGGCCGTGACGGACACGGTCTACCAGGTCAAGCGAAAACTGGAGAAAAAAGGACCGAACGGTCGGGAGGTCTTTTGCGGYCTCGAGGCCATTCCGAGAGCCCGCGTTCCCGTCATCAAGGGCATCTACAGGGACGCCAAGAACCCCCAYTCGAAGGACGGCTCCCTGCCCTTTGACATTTGCCTCCTCAACGACATTGCCGTCGCCAACAGCGGCCTGATCAAGGAATACTCGGACATCGACCCCAGGGTCAAGTCCCTGATGATCGCCGTCAAGCGATGGACCAAGGACAAGCAGATCAATTCGGCACCGGACAACACGCTGAGCTCCTACACCTGGATGAACCTCACGATCTTCTACCTCCAGTGCATCGGCTTTGTCCCGAACCTCCAGTGCCCCTCGCTCATGGAAAAGTGCAACTACTTCGAGAACCAATCGAAGCACGCGAGGCAAAAAGACAACATCAACAACCTCGACACGGCCTACCTCAGGTGGAAGGGACAGGCCGAGAAGGCCTGGAAGCGCTCCCAAGGGCTCGACGAGGCCTGCTCGTCCGTTGCGACGCTGYTGTACGGCTTTTTCTGGTTTTATTCCCGGGAATTCCCCATGCACAGGCACATGGTGTCCATCAAGCGCGGCGGAGCAGCATCGGCCCGGCTCCCCAAGACGATGTTCCCCGACCGCTGTTCGCTCCACTTTTGCATCGAGGATCCCTTCGAGACSTACGGGTCCCACTTTCCCCACGACCTCGGCGGCCACGCCGACGAGAAGGGGGCCCTCTACATCATGCACTGTTTCGGCGCGTCCGAGAAGTACCTCGGGTTGATCCTCTCTGGGAAGGCCGGGGACGCCGAACCCAGAAACCTGTGGCCACCGGGGAACCAGATGGAGGGCTTTGACCGGTCGGTCTCCACCAACGGCCGGKACCTGGCGGAACAAAAACGAGTGGTGAGCCTGGACGTGACCTCCGAGGAAAGCGACGAGATCCTCGTCCACGACCGGGTCCTGGAGATGCTCCAGCCCTTTGCGGCCCGGGCCGGTTCGTTCATCATCGGCTCGACCTCGACCAAGAAGGGCACGAAGGTGGTGGTCGWCTTTGACGCGCTGGAACCCGTCATTGCCGTTCTCGCGGCGCACCGCCAGAACCCCTTCGAGCTGGCCGGCAAGAAACTCCATCTGGACAAGAAACACATCCCGGAACCCAAACCGTCCAAGAAGAAGAAGAAGAAGAAAAACGCGGCGGCGGCGGCGGGCAACAACAACAACAACAACAACAACAACAACAACAGTAGCAACAACAACAGTAGCAACAACAACAGTAGCAACAACAACAGTAGCAACAACAACAGTAGCAACAACAACAGTAGCAACAACAACAATAACCACCGAAGAAACAACCCACCGCCTTCGAAACCACCCAACAGCCCACGGCATGTTGTGCCCAACAGGTCGCCAATGAATCTATACGAYCCCGAYAAGGTCATCGTGATCCAGAACATCAACGGGGGGATCTCCAAGCCCCAGCTGCTCCGTATGATCCGGCCCTTTGCGGAGGAGAACGGCTTTCGGGTCCTCTCGGCCTCGGTCGTCATGCACGGGAGCCTCGCCTTTGTCGACTTTGACTCGGTGGCCGCCGTCCACGCGGTCCTTGCGCAGCACAGGTACGCCCCCTTTTGGTGGAACGGCATGCCGCTGGCGATTGCCCAAAAGTCCAGCCCGTACGCCGACCCGAGGGGGCCCTACGGTGGTGGCGGCGGCGGCGGCATCGACCCGAGGGGGCCCTACGGCGGCGGCGGCGGGATGTGGTGATCCCCGCCGAGCGGTTTCCGCTCCGTCGATGCCGTCGAGGTCTTTTTGAATAGCGGCAGAGCAGCAACGAACCCGGTTTCGGCGGTAGGGTTTTTTTTTTTCTCGCCCCCGCGAGTTTTTTTTCGGGTACCCTTTCGTTTAAACTAGGCCATGCGTTGCCGTAGAGCTCGACGCTCCATCGATTTTTGAATTTCTGCCGTTTGTGTCGTAGTTGCGTCACGGTATAGGTAGTTTGAGCGTGTAGGAGCAATTGTGTGAATCTGTGAATCTCTGTTCCACAAAGGGTCGTTATTGTTCTATATCGTCGGTACGCAACGAATTTGTGGCACTGGTGACACGACCGACATTTTGTTGTGGTATGAGCCTMGAGACTGCAATTCATTGACAATGTTGCCGTGCCCAATCTCCACTAACATGGCCTACAGAGGGGAGAGAATGGCATTTGTATTCCGAGCATCCGCAGCCTCAAAGCGGCTCTCTGCGACGAATCAGAACAATCCACGGGTATCGAATCTAAAAAGACCAAAAACTGCTACGCAACAGTATCAAATAGGACAGAGTTAATGGTTATTTATACAACGACATTACGCAGAGTCCCCAAGGGATTGTTTCTTTCTCATCGCAGGCTGTTTTAGTAGTCGTTCACAAAATAGTGATGTTCATTCTGACCACCGCTGGAAACACAAAACATTCGATTCAAAACTTCTTCGGAYGAAGGGGKTCCCACAATTGTGTGCGTGTGCGGGATCGGCMGCAATCAATTCAATTTTATGCATGSGGTCCAACGACCATGTATCTCGGAAAAACTGATAGCACTATGAGCAGCCATGCATTCGGCCCTTTCATYWYGGCTTGTTTGTMCCTGTGTTTCCTTCGAGAATGGGGGAGTGGTTCTTTTTCTTTTGACGATGATGGATACCGTTCGTGGGTGAGCAACGCACACCGCAACGACCGGATGCTCCGGGTGCGCATGGTTTTGATCGATGGATCGATYGCTGTTCGACAACACTTCACACGCGTGGTTTCGATCGCTTTTGTTTTGTTTTGTTTTGTTTTGGTCTAGTACAATCGATCCCCACCGGCGCTCGACCGCCGGGAACGATTCCAGAACATGGCCGCCTCCTGGTGCACGGGCGACCCCGCGGAGGGAGCGGCCCCGGCATCGACCCCACCGCCSCGGTTTGGGTTGAAGACCGTCGATACGTCGTCCGTGTGGCTGGTGTGGTTGTCGTCGTCGTGGTGTTGTGTTGTGTCGGAGGAGAGGAGGTAGGATTCGATCTCCGACATTTCCGACGCGGACCTCCTGCCATGGTGCTGGTGGTGATGGTGGCTGCTGCCGCTGCTTGTCGGGCGCCGGTTGGCCCGCTGTGGCTGTGACGATGAGTGGTGGTGGTGGTGGTGGTGGTGCTGGTGGTCCTCCTGCATCCTCTGTGCCTGGCGTTCTTGGTAGCGAGAGTGGGGGATCTTTCCGATGACCACGGGCGGTTTGTCCGGCATTGTGATGCTCGCCAATCGCTCGGCGTAGGCCGCTTCTGCCAATTCRAGGGCCGTCAGCCTGGAACGCAAGGCAGACGGCGTGCAGCGAAAAGCAGCGAAACGACGTGAGCGAGAGCACGCATGGCACTCAAGGCCTCAAAATACAATTGGAACAGACTTACGAGGACTGGGTTTCTTTTGGCGATCGATCGAACCATTGGTTTTCGATCGTTTTGTGGAGAAGGGGTCGGTGAGAAAAAGAGAAGGAAAACGACATGGTACCAATTACTGTGGTGTGGCTTATTCAATCCGTCGAACGAGTTCGCTTGTCATGGTCAGCACCGTAGTTCATATTTTTTTCAAATCGACAGAAAAAA